ACCTAATGTGGATTTTAAATATTAACTAGGCTTTGGTATAAAATTCTGCCCCCCCCGGGGTGCTAGCTACATAATTTAGACCTCTAAATAATAATTTCTGTCCCCCCCCCCCCCCCCCTTTTTTTTTTTTTTTTTTTATATAGATACCTACCTACTATAAACTATCAACCGCCGACTCTTCAACATCCGGTACCTGCTACGTGTGATATAAACAAACCATCACGGTAGACATGGACTACGGCGCCGTCTTTCACAGCTTGCTCCCGGGCATGGGCATCAACGCAAATATATCGCATGCGGGCGGCAACGCCTCGGCAGCCGATAACACGCATGATGCAAAAGCATTCGAGAGCATCCTGGCTCTGGCCGGGCTCCGCGGGCTCGCGCCCATCTACGGGGTTATCGGGGGCTGGCTGGGCTTCGAGCCGTCCAACCTACTAGCGGTGGCCGGTGTTCTGTGGGCCCTTAACAAGGTCCTCCGTCAAGTGTACTCGTTTGTGTACCGGGCTGTCACCGGGTACTTCATGAGCAGTGTGCACATCATGAACAACGACGACATCTACATCCATCTCATGGACTGGCTCGCCACGCACCCTAGGATGGCGAATTCGAGGGACCTGGTCGCTGAGACGGCGAGCAAGAGGGCTTGGCAGGATGAGGATGCGTCGAACGTGGCTAGGGACCGGTCCGGTCGTTACCTCAACTTTTCTAACCAAGAAGCTAGGGCTGTGAGTATATATTATTATTATTATTAATTATTATTATTATATTCCCCTCTATCTAGTACCACACAGTGTATACGATACTAACACCCTTCCAAGCCACCATTCTTCAGTCCCGCCGTCGGCCTGCACAGCTTCTGGTGGCGCGGCCAGTACTTCCAGTTGCATCGCAAGCGGGAGTCGATATTCGATGAGAGCAGCATGTCGGGGCAGATGTTCCGAGACCAGGAAGACCTGATCATATCCTGCCTTTGGAGAAGTCCGGGTAAGCGCCCAAGTCGTTATTCCCCGTCTCACATACGAGCTGACGCGTGTGATACCTACCTACCTACTTAGAACCTATCAAGCAGCTACTGGTCCACGCCAAGGAGCAGTACTACCGTGATCATCAGGCCAGGACCACGGTTAAGCGGCCCAGCACCAACACCTCTCGTCGCTACGTGGGCCGGGTCGGCTGGCATCAGGTGGCGAATCGACCTATCAGGGATATCAAGACCGTCGTGCTAGACGAGCAGCAGAAACTACAGGTTCTTGCAGATATTAACGAGTATCTGCACCCGGAGACGCCAAAGTGGTAGTAAGTAACAGCCAGTGCTGTTTATTAAACACGAGCTTGAACCCCCGGTTATTCGTTAAATTACCTAAGGTAGTTATTCTAAAAAGATAGATTACTGACTTCCTGGTTCTGTAGTTCAAATAGAGGTATACCACTACGGAGAGGATATCGTATGTATTTCCAATACCCCTTTCTCCTTTTCTGACTTGCTTCAGAAGCTACATATTAATAAGATGACATTTACTAACTATTGTTAATGTAGTTTTCCATGGACCCCCAGGAACGGGTAAGACGTCGCTCTCGTTTGCTCTCGCCGGGATTTTTGGTCTTGATATTCACGTAATATCGCTCCTCGAACCGAGCTTGACAGAGGAGGATTTAAGCGCACTGTTTGCCTCACTCCCGCGCCGCTGCATTGTCTTATTAGAAGGTATGTCATACTGGTAACAACAACATCGAAGTTCACGCTGTCCCCTTACCCCCTGAAATATCTAAGCCATAATCCCTAGATCTTCTCTCGACCAAAAACTATCTACTAATAACCTCCTCTGGCAGACATCGACACAGCCGGACTCCGCCGTCCAACCCTCAACAAATTCGACGACGAGACCTCGCAATCCGAACCCCAAGATGTCACCACCGCCAAGCCTAGCAAACACAGCCTCCGCGACTGGAAAGTCAGCGACCTAGCGCGCGCCCTCAAGAAAGAAGGCGAAAGCGACCAAAAATCAGGCATATCCTTATCCGGCCTCCTCAACGCCATCGACGGCGTGGCAAGCCAAGAAGGCCGCGTGCTAATCATGACGACAAACACCCCCGAACAGCTCGACGACGCATTGATCCGCCCGGGCAGGGTAGACCTGCAAGTAGCGTTTGCGAACGCGACGCGGGACCAGGCGCGCGAGTTATTTGTGCGCATGTACGAGGAGGATTCGGGGCGCCCTACTACTATTACTACTACTACTACTACCACTACTACTACCACTGCTACCGTGAACAAGAATCAGGAGAAGATAGCCGCCAATGGCATCGCCCCCCAACCCACCGACCTCGACATATCTATCTCCGAGCTCCCCACCGTCGCAGCCGCCTTCGGCGCCAAGATCCCCGACGACGAGTTCTCGCCCGCCCAGATACAGGGGTATTTACTCAAGCGCAAGAGGCAGCCGCGTAAGGCGCTCGAGGAGGCGGATAAATGGGTCGAGGGTCTGCTAAGGCAGAAGGCGATGAAGAGCAAGATCTTGCAGGTGCAGTGAGTACGGTGTGCGGCTATTAGCAGCTACCTAGGTTAGATACCTAGGTATCTAGATAGATATCTAACCTAGGGTAATGAGGGGGTGGCGATGGGAGAGTTAATGGTGGTTTCACTGCCAGGGACATCTTTACTACGGCGGCTTAGAGAGTTGATATTCCGATTGCATAGCGGGGAAGCTAGATCTAGATTGGCCGTCCGTCGTGGCGTTGATTGGAGCTTGGTGTCTTGTTTGTGATATCTATTGGAGTTTACTGGCGTCTACTCCTAGCGAAGCGATGACTTGATGGCAAATAATAAACCGACATTGTTCGTAAATAATGAATAGGGGAATAGGGGCCCGATTTAATGTGATCTAACCGAGGCCACAAGCCTAGCTCGAGACAGATGTGAAGCTGAATAGAGACCCGAAGCGAGCGTTTAATTTGCTACAACGGAATTCGAACGTAGATAGGGTATAAATTGTACAAGGAACGGCGCATCAAGCAATCGCAGCGAAGGGCCAGCCAAGAAACTAACCACGTTCCAAAGAACATAGTCATTATACGAACATCATTACCCCTATGTCTCAATGCTAGGCCCTTTCTCTTGGATCCGCATGATCAAGTCGTGTTGCGTCTGGAGGTTCTGTGACGAGCTAAGCGACCTCGCCACCGTAGTCTCGTTCTTCTCGACTACGATCCGTCTGAGTGCTTTCACCAAGAAACCCGCGACCAAATCCACGCTCCAGCTATCGGGTATTACTGACAAGACATCGTTGACGTCGAAGAATCCCCCGAATTTCTCCAAGAGCAAACCCGTCTGATCCAAGCGGTCGCTGATATCCTCTAGTTTGAGGAACTCGCCAAGCAAGGCGCGGAAAAGCCGGGCCTGCTGATCTTGCGTCGGTGGCATGCTGTCGCGGCGCGTTGGCGCTTTAGGAGCCTCCGGGTTTGTGGGCGGTTGGTTTTGTTGGGCTTGGTAGATCGTGTAGATGCTGGAGCCGCCGCGGAGGCAGTAGGCCACGGCCGTATCGTAGTCTCCGAGATGGTGGACCAATAAGCGCAGTGCGTTTTCGTGCTTACGTTCTCGGCCGTCGAGTATTATGGTCTCAGGTACAAGAAGGTCTTCAGCCGCGGTGTTCAAACTTGCGATTCGGCTCCTGATAACTGCCAAATCAAAGTCATGGTTGCCACCAAGCAACTGCAAGAGCCGTAGCCGACTAACCCACGCCTCGTCATCGGCAGGAGCGTTGTCAGTCAAGAATTGGCGGTACGTGGGTTTAGGAGGCTGCAGAGCACGGTATGCCGTATACGTAGACGTCACTACATCTCGAGCTTCAGACGACGTCCGAAAGCGAGTGATCACGATATCCAGGTAATACATAATCAGCTCGTTTACGTATACAGTATGGCCCTTACCGAACACCAGGTGCTCTAAATAATACTTTACCGCACCCGGGGCCTCTTCTCTGAGGAGTTGAACTACTTGGGTAGGCTCAAATTTCGGGGCACGGCCTTTATCGTCGGCGAAGATCTGGACTCCAAGCTTCGGGTTTCGATTCGCAAGCCAGATACCATATTCCTGAACTAGGCTTTGGTTGCTAATCTTCGAGAGATATTCGCGTACTCGCTGTTCGCCGTCGGTTAATTCACCCCCGTCATCCCGCTCGCCTTCGATGATGCGTTTCCAAGTAGCCAAAACTTCCCCTGCCATCTTACGACTCTGGTAGAGCCTACTAAGCACATAGAGACGGTGGTAGGATTCGATCAATGTCTCTGCTCTGTTGAAACAATCGACCCCCGTATCTACAAGCTCGTATAAATCTGCACGGATCGACCTTGCTTTGGCTGGACCTGTGGTCGAATGTTGATCAAGCTCAAGGAGGACGGCAAGTAGAGCCGCATCAACTGTACGGAAAACCTCGCTTTCGTCCGGTATACTACCAAAGCCCTTTTTACGTCGCCATGCAGCAAGAAAACGCCTAAGAAAATGCAATACAGACAGTGGTAATGTGCTCATAGTTGAGTTACCCTTATCGAAGTCCCTATTCGAGATGAATTCCTCAGCAGTCGATTTGACACCTCCAAATATCCAGATGCCTCGTTTCGTCTCGATTACCTCGTTACGAGCTCCAGCTGTTAGAGATAGAACAACTCGAGGGTCAAGAAGGCTATCAACTAAGATCTCTTCCATGGCTCGGAGCTCCGATTCCGAGAAAGGGGTATCTTCTAACTTTAGGAAGCTCGTTAATAAGAGTACACCTGCTCGTTGTCGTATATAGTTAAATGTTAGAAACTCTAACTCCGATTTAGCGTCCTGACCTCGGAAGGAATTCAGGATAGTGAACAAGTCTTGTCGCTCAGTAGATGCCTGTTTCAATGCCGAGACCGTCGCTTCTAGCTGAGCATCTAACCGTAATATTAATGGATTTCGAATAGCCCACCATATATCCTTTCCAGACCACACAGCCAAGCGAGCAGTACTTCCTGCGAGGCGGCGAGCATAATCTTCCTCTTCGGCGTTACGTGTCGCCTGCCAACCATCGGGAAAGAATTCTTCACTCTGAGAATCAGTATCCCTATCAAAAAGCTCCCTCTCTTTAGACACCCTCTCTATAGAAGAGGCTGTTCTAGAATCACAAGTTCGCAGAGACATTGTCGAAGCGTTTGAGTTATCTGATAAAAACGGAGCAAATCTCCGCCGACACAATTTGTCGACAATTTCTGGGAAGTGTGTATCATCTATCCCCCGCAATGATCGAATTCCTATGTTCTGTGCAGAGTTGGCAGACGGGTCAGCAATTGGAGGCTCGAGCCAATGTTTTGAGACCTCGCCCTCGGCTGCGTCACTATCCCAGCGTTGAATCTCAAGACCATAATGAATACCATCAGAGAAGTCTCTCCCCATTGATGCAAGGACAAATCCCTCCTCTTCCGGAGCGGGGGACGCCCGCGTTGAGGATGTATCTATAGGACCTCCATCAACGACAATCTCCTTAGGATATCGATCAAACTCAATGGTAGGCCTTGTTGGATCGCCATCCAAGTTTACAAACATTCCAATGCCCGGCTCTAGCGGATCTGTACCTGTGACCAACAGGAACTCTTCTGGCGTTGGAGATACGATAAGCGGTTTCAGAAGACCCGGCTTAGGCCTAGAAGTGGGAATGGTTCGGCCTGTTTGGCCCTCTGTGGCTCTGTCTGGTGCTGGGCTATTTGGGTCCTCAGGAGGGGATTGGCCCGCCGTTAATTCAGACGGAGTTGGTTGTCGCGAGATTGGGTCTTCGTCCTCGGCGGCATGAGATTCCTGTCTCCGATTGGCACCCGTGATGAAGTCACCCAAGCTGGTTCCCCGCCTATGAGTAGGAGGTTCAGGACTCTCAGTCTGCGAGCGAGATTGTGCGGAAGAATTGCTGCGATTTAACCCACCTCCTGAACTCCCGGAAATATGTTGGGCTTGGCCAATAATATTCCCTGGCTCGGCCTCATCCAGTGATGATATTGACATCAAGGGTATCTTCAATTGGTGATTAATTTCGAGCAAGGCATAGCTGCGCGAGTCCGCTACGCAAGCAATGGAGTCTCTCCTTATAGAAATTGTGCTTCCCGCAAAGTCGATCTTTTTGATAGGATGAGCCCTATCGGCTATGTTGACCACCTGGATCTTCCGGTTAAGCGACAACAAGATGGTGACGCCTGTGGGCCCTTCCCGTCCATCTTGGCTAGCAGTCAACTCATTGAGGTCTATTCCACCTACCCAGTTACAATTCTTGACCTGTGTTCCGCCAAAGACCGGGCTTAATTCTGGGAGCGAATAGAAGGTGACTGTCCAGTTACATAAAATACAAGCCTTGTTGACGGTTGGCAGCAATAGTATTTGCTGGACACCAGGTCTCGTGCAGTTAGACGCTGCTGCTGATTCGGCGAAAGCAGGGCGCAGCCTTGAGGCGAGGATGAAGGTCGGGGCGCTCGATTTGTCTGCAGGATCTGGGGGTATCTGAAAGAAGTGAAGAAGTTCCGAGTCGGACGTGCCTACGTATAAGTGGTTATCTGACGAGGGTATTAGCTAGCTTATACTTGAGGGGGACTAAACTGCAAGCGAAAGAGCCCTATGTTATGCGCACCTAGATATTCGACACAGTTAATCTTTATATCGTCCCTTGTTCCATCTTCCGATAGTGGAACGTCTGCGAAGAGGGTACGAAGTACGAAGGGCCCGGCATCGAATGCCTTTTGCGAGTTCTTGTCGCTTTGAGGTTCGGAAGCCATGGTGGAAGCGACAGCATCATAAGAAATTGGAGTTAGTCATGATGGCTCCTTGTGAATATAGAAGTAATAGTGGTGATGATAAGGTAATACAGGTGCAGCATCCTGGGAATTTGGACGTGTACATACCTACCTACCTAGGAAGCTGAGGTGGAGCTTACTTGAGCTGAGATTACGTACCTATGTACATGTAGGTAGTGTTAGGTTAGGTATTGTACCTACCTATGTACCTACACTACGATAACCTAATACATGTACAATTTCTAATGCACATCCAATCATAAATGGCCCAGATCTTCAGGGACCTGAAAAGGCAGTTACAGTGGATTGTAGTCTATTTCTAGCACTAAATCCGCTAATCAAACCAAGTTGCCGAGCTTACGAATCCCTGCACTTGCATCTCCTAGTTACTAGATGGAACGAACACGTTCAACCTTCACAACTATTCTTATTCTAGACCAATCTACCATCTGCTCGGCGCTCGCGACTGACGTCGGTTGCCTGTCGCATAACTTCCTGTAGCATATCAACCGTTTCTACTAGTTCATATCTGATGCTTCGATAACCGCGGCAGCGACATCTGCCCCTTGTCGAGAAGAAAAGGAAAAAATCATGGCCAACGTGTCCGAGTCGCCGCAAGCCGGACAACTACCGCCACCCCAGCCTACTGGTGATGGACAGGTTGATACTTCCAGCCAGGATGGTACAAACCAATTCCAGCATGCTATTTCAGCATGGAGAAGTACGCATTCTTTGCTACCTATATTGGTGTTGTCATGTTCGGTCCTGACCCTTGATAGACATTGATCTGGGCTCTTTAATGTCCACTCTCGACAATACTGCTTCCGACATCGTAGCCTTTCAGCGGGACTCCACGGTCCAACGAAAGGATTTGGCCCAGAAGACAAAAGATTTCAGAAAGCTAGATGATGCGACCAAATTAACGGAGATCAAGGGCCTTTTGAAAGCGTACCAAACATTTATAGATCTCCTCACCAACCATACCAAGTCAACCAACTCTGCCTTTTTACAAGTTTACTCCGCCCTCGAGAATGCTCCCGATCCGTATCCTTTGCTGGAAGCATCGGTCGACTCTATGCTCGTGGCCGAAGATACTTTACCTAAGCTTACCGACGAAAATCAACACTTACAAGAAAGCGTCGCCAAGCTTACATCACAGCTTGAGGAGACGGAGTCAAGGTTGCAATCAGAAAGCGCCAACAGGAAGCAGCTAGAAAACAATCTCGAAACTAAGGTCAGGGAAGTAGAGGAGTCGTGGATCGCAGTTGTAGACGAGAAGAAAGACAACTGGGAAGCGAAAGAGAAGGCGTTAGAGGAGAAGATTGAAAGTCAGGAGAGATTACTGAATGAAATCAAGGCCAGTTACGAGGTGAACCAACGCCTCAAAGGATCCGAAGATGCAGACGCTGAGGGTAGCTACGGTCACGTTACGAATGCGGAGCTAGAAATGGTCAATTCTGATCTAGAACGAACCAGTGCCAGATTAGCTGATGTTGAGGCTCGAAACGAGCAGCTGCGGCTGGAGCTCGCCCAATCCAAATCCCAAGTCACAGCCCACGCACCAATTTTGGAGGATGACCCCGGGTATATACGCATGAGATCGGAAAACTCGTCTCTAATTCGCAAGCTGGACTCTGCGAGAGTTGAAAAGGAGGCCTTCAAGAGGGACGTTGACACGAAACTTAGAGGTTTAGAAAGAGAAGTTGGTCTTCTAAAAGAGGAGCGCGACAGTCTGAAAGCGAAGGTGCAGAAGTGGAACGACTACGACGATATCAAGCAAGAACTAGAGGTCCTCAAAAGCATCGAATTCGCGACGGGTGATGACGACGATATGCTAGTTACTTCGGAATCGAACGGCTCTGTACCCAAGGGGAAGGGTGACACCCTAGAACAGTTGCTATTAGCCAGGAACAAAAAGTTAAGTGACGAGTTGACCATCTTACGGGTTTCTCATCAAGACCTTCAGAACCGGCTAGAAAACCTCCAAGAGGAAATGTCAAGAACAAATGCAGACTTGGAGAGATCACAGAACCTCAACGCACAGTTGGAAAATGATCTAGCCAACCTTCAGTCAGAAGGACATAATGCGTTCCCGTCAGGAGCGTCAGTGGCTGGCACGTACACGAGATACGCGCCGTCTATAGCACCCGGAAGGAGGGGTGGAAGAACATCGCCTACCTCGTCTATCATATCCGGTTTCGACCCTCGAATGACAGGGGGCGAGCCGATGGGCGGTGGTTCGGGCATCTTGCCTATGATCACCGCGCAACGTGACCGCTTCAAAAAACGCAACGCTCAACTCGAAGGGGAGTTGTCCGAGTGTCATCGTACCGTGTCGCAGCTGCGCCAAGAGATCGCGGCCTTGCAGAAGGATAACCTTCAGCTCTACGAAAAGACACGATACGTGTCGACTTACAATCGCAATGTGCCGTCGGCGTCGTCAGCGTCGGCGTACTCATCAAATCCTAATCCGTCCGTGGTCGCTATGGGCGGGACTGGAACCCCCGGGATTGCGCTAGACCGGTATAAACAGGCGTACGAGTCCAATATCTCGCCATTTGCGGCGTTCAGAGGGCGCGAGTCAGCAAGAGCTTACAAACGGATGAGTTTCCCAGAGAGGGTGGTGTATTCGGTGACGCGGATGGTGTTGGCCTCGCGAACGAGCAGAAATCTATTTGCAGCGTACTGCGTCGCATTGCACATCCTAGTATTTTTCTCACTGTACTGGCTTGGTACGACAGACGTCGAGAAGTATTCGAGTAATCTTAGCCAAGGTATAGCCGCCGCTGCAGTAGCGGGAGGGGTAGCCGGCGGTAATAGTGGTGGGAGAGGACAGGCCGCCCATGCCGGGGATTGGCAGGAAGAGGGTTTCAATGGGCACTGATGATTACGTCCGCAGAATACATCTATTGTATCATTACTAGGTAGGCCATCTTTGTTTATACGGCACGCGCAATACGTCTAATACCAGCCTATTTTGTCTTGAATAGTTTACTACCACCAGCTAAATGCATAGGTCCATATATAGGTAGGCAGTGAAACAATGTAGTGTATCTACATCTCCGAGCAACGTTTGATACCAAGAGACCTAAGACATAAACCAGACACCATAACACCTCTGCATTAGAATAAGATGATTGAAGCAAGCATGAAGTGCAAGAAGATCACAAGGCCCATTCTCGGTACCAGTTGCCTATCTATAGACGAACCTCTATTCGTTCCATGCCACAAGAGAGAGCCAGGATCTAACTTGTCATGATCTCGAGCCGCCACGTTGGGTACTATGCACGCAATCTGTAAGCGGCCCGCCGAAGACAAACCCCGGCAAGGTCTTGGCTAATAGAGTACGGTCTACGCTGATTGGCAGGAGTTCCTTGATTTCAACGGTTGGCAACACACATCTTCTGCTATTCAGCAAACACCATACTTGAGTAACCAGCCTGTTACTGACCACCAGCTTACCCTCCAAGATTTCCATGGCATACTTGGCGCGGGGTCATACGCGTACAAATGTAAATTATACCACACGCCCACACTCACACACACACACACACATACTCACTCACGCACATGTCCAACGTTCACCGTAGGCGAGTATCGAATTAAAAAGGACAAATTTCTTGGTTGACCGCGGCTGCAACCCACACCCGAGACTTGATAAAGTAGCACAACAGACGGGAAGAGGTCGGGAGGCTTGCTTCACCAGAAAGCCAGCTAGGTATGTAAGAGACGGGCAGGATACCTAATCATCGATATTAATATATGCGTCCGGACATTATCTCCGTCGGACGAGCGAAACGCCTTCTCCATTCAGCAGCCGACCTGAGACGAGGCGAGATTAGCAGACGGGTAATAAGAAGCTAATTTGCGATGTGCGAGCGGGTAAAGGGTAGCATTGCATTAGTTAGGTGTGTATGAATAGTTGGAATTTGCCCGCAATTCGAACAGCCAGTCGGTAGCTCGACTTGGACAGCCGAGAACAAAGAAAGCGGGCGGCGTCGTGATTGGTAGATGTGTATAATTTGGGCAAATTGGGCAAATTGGGCAAATTGGCCAGAAACAGGTATGGAGTATCCCCACTTAAGCGAGGTGGGAAGAAAAAGCTAATTATGTTTATTTTTGGATTTGGGTTCAGATCCGGCCACAAACGATTTGCTGGCGCGCTTGTTGCTAGAAATAGCAACAACAACAACAACTATGTAACCGCTAGGGCCACTACATATGTACATAGACCACGGCTACAAACCATGCCGAACTAGCCCGGAACTATCTTAGTGGTCTTTTTTTTTTTTTTTTTTTTTCCAAATTAACCCACCTTCTTCAAGGGCTAATTACTCCCTTGCTTCTTTTGACCCTATCCACTTACACACCTACCTTCATACCAGCATACTTGAGCAAAAGGTCCAGGATGCTACCATGTATGATCTGATGGGCGTTTGCACAACCAAGATCCATACATAACACAAAGCTTCTTTTCCCTCGTTCTACACTAAACCTGCCAATGAGACGCCAGTATGTCCCAGCACTGACCGAAGTTCTAGGTCGATCTTAGAGTCGCGGCCAAACTGCACAGCCAGCCGGATCTAGAAGTTCCCAGGCTACGAGATCTTTGGGTACGACATTGGAATCATAACGAGGGTCATATTAGCTTAAGGTAATACTTGACCTACCTACCTAGCTGTGCCTTGCTTGCTGGCGTCACAATCAGCTGCTGGAATCATAACTACCTACCTTCCAGCCTCGTCCTGTAATTTATACCATGGAGCTTAGTGCACGCCATCACAGGTGATGGAATCAAAATAAAATATAAAATGCAAAAAACAGAGAAGGGACATAGATCATTCAGTACATAGTTACTGGATCTTGTTTCTCGTATCCATAATTTCCCTTCTATCCACGGTCAATATTTTGTCTAATTTGAACTGACTCTAGTTGCTTCAAACATAACGCGTTTTGCCGGTGCCGCCCTCTTTGTCATTTCTCTCGAGGCTACACCAACCACCAAGTGTAATAAGCTGGCCGAAGAAGAGTCGGCCCTGGCGCTTACACGGTAGCTTAGGCGGTCCTTCCAGCCAGTCAGCCAGTCAGATGGCCGAGTGAGAGCTCGGCACCCCTGCCTGCCGTCCCTAGCTGCAGATCGCTTGGCTCTCCATTCAGATGCCCATGTTGAATCGACGGCAGGGATATCCTAAAATACAATCCCACCCTCCTTGCGTCTACCGCCGTCCGGCTTCGTCCACTACCGCGGAATCATAGGCAGATGGCCATTCTTCAACCATCAGAATTCTCGAAGCACCCCGGTCCGCCTACAAGTATGCTACCCAGATTCTTAATTTGGGATCCGTTCAAGGTCCCACGCTGTCGTGCCGCTGGACTGGGGTAGGGCGTGGCACCTGAACGAAGCAGCCAAGCGGCGGTTCTTCCGCTCTCTGTATGTATGAAGGTAGGTAGGTAGGTAGGTAAGTAGGTATGCAGTCTAGAATTTAATAAACCCCATCTCGTCCCGCTCCCGAACATGATGAACATTTGTATATACCATCCTCAAGCCTTTATCCTATATATCTCTCTCTCCTCTTGGAGATCATTTCCTTTTACGTTTTCCTATTTTCTATCTCCTTAGTATTTCTTTTATTTCCTTGTGACTTCATCTGTCTATCTCGTCTATCTCTGTCTATCTATTATATCTATTCTATCTGGGTCGGGTTTTCTTTGGGTTTCCTATTTCTTATTAGTCTACGCATATTACGACCAAGAAGACTACTTTGAGATTTCAAACGAGAAACCACATCGATTCGACTACAAGCCAATATCCTATACTCTTCCTCATACATCATCAGCCTCAAATCTATCAAGATGTACGCCTCGACATTATTAGTCTCGTTACTCGGTGCCTCGAGTGTCATCGCCGCCCCGACGTGGCCCACATTCAACTGGAATGCCGCCAAGCCTGACGGGCTCGAGACCGTATCCGAGTACTTCAATATGTTGGCACAGAAGGTTGAGATGGGGAAATACATGTCGTCAGCCCCGATTTGTGATATCTCAAGGGCACAGATGGCTACAGGTTCGTCACCATTTCCCCATTAAAGTCTTCTAAGAATTTGAACTAACATTATCCTCAGCCCCTGAGCCACTGACTCCTCCGTCTCCCGGTTTAATCCTAAAGCACGTGGCCATCGGCCGCGGAACGCAGAACTACACCTGCGACACAACCAACGCGACTGCCGTCCCCGTAGCCGCCGGTGCCGTAGCTACACTCTTCAATGCGAGCTGCGTCGCCTCCACGTACCCGGATCTGCTGAATCTCCTGCCCAAGCTGGCTCTCCAGTTCAACCTCACGGCGCAGGAGGACGCGCGCATGGGCCCCACCAACCTGATCATCTCCGGCAAGCACTTCTTCACCAACAACACGACGCCCTTCTTCAACCTCGACACGACTCAGAACCAGATCGGCGAAGCGAGCTGCTCCAAGGACAGCCAGACCAACGCGCCTGCTGACGCGCCCAAGGGCCAACAAGGCGAGAAGGCCGTCCCCTGGCTCCGCCTCAAGACGCAATCCGGCTCCACAGGCAACCTGCAGGAGGTCTACCGCATCGAGACCGCGGGCGGCAGCGCACCAGCCACGTGTCAGGGACAACCGGCAGCATTTGAGGTGCAATATGCGGCACAGTATGTTCTAACCCCCTTTCCATGGCATTTATCTGTGCTGCCGAATATGAAGCTAATATGCAAAATAGATACTGGTTCTGGGAAGGCGAATCTCAGGCGTGAAGAAGAAGAAGGAAGAAAACAAAACGACGCTATTGCTAAACCGAGTAAATTGAGATAATCATAAAACGACAAATACCTAAGGGGTCTGTAATGGGAAGGGGGCAGGGCAGGGCAGGCATGATAGGGGGCCGGGTGACTCCGCCTGTGCGTGTCTCGGAAGATACGAGACGCGACGGCGCCGACATGCATAATACCTAGTATAGGTCGGACATCATCGGGCGGGGAACCGCAGCCCCTATCCTCTTCAGAGCGCCTGGGTGGGCGCAGGCATGGATGGCAAGGCAAGGCAAGGGCATATGTACTAGGGCGTCACGCATGCATGCGTATTGAGACATGGGGCTACGAGGGGATTTATAGCGTTATGATTCATACTATTTTTTACACTTTTGTTTTATTTATCATTTTTATTCTTCTCGTATAGTACGGTTTTATCTTGTTAATATATTATGAAATGTCGCATTGATGTGTTATAGTGATGTGTCCTATAACTAGGTAACTATATGATTACTTTGAGGGGTGATATGTCATATCGTAATATGGGCTTTTTCGTATTGGAGTACGATATCTTCTAACCGAACTGATATTCCTGAGTCCAAGTATCTTCGGTTTCTGACGATCCCAATAATTTGTATGAAGGTATTATATCATTTTGACGGGAAGCGTTGTAAGGATCATGAGATAATGCTGCGGGGTGAGTTGCAACGGTAAGGAGAGCTTCAAGCTTTCTCAAAGACATAACTAGGTTAGATAGATAGCTATTCTGATATTGTACGCTCAAGACTATATGCTGATCTAGGTACCTAGGCTTCCATGTAAAGAGGCTGCTGAGGCGGTGTGTCTTTGTTGATAGCAGGAACATCTTAGACATACGCAAGCCTTATGAAGAGGAACCGGGTTGTTATAGACGCATTGGCATCTGTCGGATTGATACAAATACCGAACCCAATATAACCGAACATGCGCGGGGGGGCTACGGATGAGGATAAAGATAAAGTAAGAGTAACACTTATCTAGGTTAGTTTACTATAACTAGAGCTACTCATGAAAAAGGAAGAGGGGAGGAGAAGAGTTGTGCGATACGCGTGGCGTAAAGAATTATATGAAAGACATAGAGTGATATAAATAGGAGGCATTAGTTTTAAATTCAAGTTTAACTATTGATTATAAGCCAACAGCTTTGAAAGCCTTTATTAGTTCCGGAGTAAACCCACATCATTGCGCCTCGGAAACATCCTTCTGCGCGAGAAACTCGCCGACGACCTTTAGAATCCTCTCTCGCAGCCCTCCGCCTTCCAGATGGCACATGTGGCCGCCGCCCGGGAACGTGATCCAGCGGACGCGTGGGATGAGCTCGAAAAACGGGACTTGGGCGATGTCGTGCGAGGTGTCGTATTCGCCGTTGTAGACGAGGGCTGGAGAGGTGATTTTGGGGAGACGGGGGATGACGGTCCAGTTGTTTAGAGAACCGTCTGCTGTTAGAGGCGAGGGGCCGTTCCTGGATGGATTAGAAGTGGGATCGGGGCGGGCGTGGCTTAGAAGGAGGAGGGTCTGCTTGGAGAAGATAAGGGGGGGGGGGACTTGGGAAATCTCTGCTGATCACCCCTTTCACTGCATCACCACAGAAAACCCCAGCAGAAGAGACGAGAGCAACTTACATTGTCCGATACACCGTCGTATCCTCGCCCAGATGCTTCAAAGCCGGCAGCAGCTCCGCCGGCGGAAACGGATCAGCACGACACACGTGCTTCCTGTAGTAAAAGTCCAACGCCTCCTTGTAAGCAGGGCTATCATACTCGCCCTTCTGCTCAGCCTCATCGAGCGCCTTCTGCATGTCCGGCGGCATCTGCCCCCTCAACAGCAGAGTACCGCGCGTAGCAAGCTCCTTGCTCGCCAGCGCACTAGCAAGGACCAGCCTCCGGAGCCCCCGGGGCCGGCGCGCGGCAAACGCGGCGCCGAGCATGCCTCCCCAGCTCTGGCCGAGAAGATGGAAGCCGGGATCGCGGCGCACGTCGAGATGGTCCAGCAGGTTGTCTAGTTCATCCTGGAACAGCTGCTCCTGCCAGAAAGACTGGTCGCCGGCTTTTTGCGGGAGATGCGTGGAGGCGGCGCAGCCTATCTGGTCGTAGAAGACGACCGGGAGACGGTATTGCTGCCAGAGGTCTGCGAACGCGAGGAGGTACTCGTGGCCGGCGCCGGGTCCGCCGTGGGCCACGATAACTGGGGGTGCGCCGCTTGAGAGGTCCCCGATGATCTTGTAGTAGGTGAAGCAGGGCTCGTCGGTTGACGGGATTTTGAAAGGCGCTTTGCCTTCCTGGATCTGGATTTCGGCCATGGTTTAGCGACGAGGACGATTGAAGGGAAGAAAATAAAGAGTACAAAATGGGGCGAGGCGGAGGGATTTTCAAAGAAAGGGTGTTGGTTGTCTTGTCTTAACGCAAGGAACTTATAAGAGCTGACCCGACCACCAACGACGTGTAACACTCGTGTCGGCCCAACATGCATTGCTACGCCCTTGGGGGCGAATCCTCGTGAGGTTAAGGTAATAAGCGACTCTGCCTTGTGTAGAGTGGCCGTAGACTCGTAGTTTTACTGAGACCGAAGTTTCTCTCCGCATTCACAAGCACCTTCGCACCCAAGCTGTTATGTTTTGAGTCTTTTACTAAGTATCACCATCATGATGCCTATTGATTACGTCCCGATATCCCAGGAGAGATCTGATATTGAAGAGAAAGACTTTTTCATCCCCATCCCATAGACGCACCTGTCGGTACGATGGAAGCGAGCTTTGTTTGTTCTTAGCACCGCCCTTGTGGGCTCCATATGTGTCAGCGTCTTTTTTATGTATCGCCAGTTTTTCAAGCCTTGGGAACTTCTCAATGAGTTGCCTACCTAAGTTACCCAGTTTGGTAAGACTAGATCGCACCAGATGTGCTCAACGAGAAGGCTAACTTGTATTTCTGGCTGGCCTCCGTCGAGATGTACCGACGGAAATTCTCTAGCAACAACTTCGACAGTATGAACAGGACAATTCAAGATGCCGCATAGGGCCATGTCGACGTGGAGCCTTGGAACGGGTTTGTAGCCCTCGATGAGGACCACGCCATGACGCAAGGGTTGCCACACACACAACGTTGGCCATGGGACTTGTCGAAAGGCGTCTATACCATGACGAGCTCGCACGGACCCCATTGCGTGGTAAGCATCACAGAAATCAATTTCATTTTGGCCCAAGAAGGACTTAATAACACTTTCCGTTTTGTAGCATGTGCTTCGTGAGCTGGTCAGCGAGGACGACGACGGGGTGCCTGAAGAAGAATGGAGGTAGCATTACCCACACGTGACGCACTGCCTGAACGTATTAAGAGAGTCTGTGTCGTGATTGGAACAGACTGTTGGCATGGTCCCGTACATTGGACTGACGAAGGCTTCAGGGAGATCGATCGATGGCGGTAGTAGAGTAGTAGGGAGGTAGGTAGGTGTAGCAAGGGCTGTATAAGCTTGGAATGTATATATAAATTATTGATTTTATGTAGTTAGCGGTGAATAACGCTTTATAATAATTAATTAGATTATTAAAAATTCTATCAATAATAATACCCTATATATTGTATTTTAAAAGGTGCGTATCAGTTGCGTGACAAAATCCCATTGCTTAATGCGGACGTCGATGATTCGCATAGAAAAAAGTGCAACACAATAACCCTTTATATTAGGTACTTAAAGCATACCTAAGGTACCTAGGTAATGACCGAAAGATCTTTATTTCCCTTCTGCTTGGCATTCAATACTTCCCCCTCGGTGACAGGACATCATTCAACACCCCTAAATATTCCACCTGTCAACGCTCGGCCGTGTGATTCTTTAAACGTAAGAAATTACCTTGGCGCTGAAAACTTGAATCATCTAGCCCGTCATGTCGGATTCGTCCAAGGAGAGCATATTAGGCCTTTCCGGCTCTCTCATGGGCTTGTCGGCCATCGCTGTTAGCCTCCGGTTTTTGGCACGCAGGCGGCATGAATTGCGTTTCATGGCTGACGACTGGATCGCTGGCCTCGCTCTGGTTAGTAATTTATGTCTAATGTCGCCCGATGAGTAATCCTTACTGATGGCGGATGATGATGATGATGGCCTTAGCTTTCATACATCGGAGCATCCATCTGTGTCTTCGTCAGTAAGTCGTCCTTTCACCCTCGAGTCGATCTACAAGGGAAAGATGGCCAAGCACTTACATACCCACAGTGGTACACAACAAGGTACTGGGCTACTCTAGCCATGACTTCACGCCTGAGCAAATAGGAGCGATGGGTAAAACGGATAACGTGGTGAGCACCAAGTGCCTCTTTTCCGCATTTCTTGATGATTGGATTCCATTAATGATCTTAATTTCCATCCAGTCTCAAATTGTTCTCGATCTTCTGACCAACAACACACTTGCCTGTGTAAAGCTCAGCGTTCTCTTCTTCTACCGGCGCATCTTCTGTGCTGGCGGGAAGTGGACCACGTTTGGGGTGGTAACTTGGGTCACGATTGTCGTCGTCGTTCTGTGGCTTCTTGTTTTCCAGTTTCTAACTGGCTTTCAATGCGGCACGCATTTCACGGCACTCTGGGATGGCTCCTATGTTCAGTACTGCACTATTTCATTCCCTTTTCTATACGGGCTTGTTATTTCCGACTTCCTCCTGGATGTATGGATCCTAATCCTCCCGATCCCTGATGTACGTGAACCCATCGATTTAAAGTCGCTTGCCTAGCTTCTCACTACTAATGAAGATCACTTTACAGATCTTACATCTTCACACAACCCTGCAAAGAAAGCTATCCATTATAGCAGTGTTCCTTTTGGCTTTCGTGTAAGTACTTCGATAGTATGCGGTAGGCAATTAGCATGTTGACTTCTGATTCAGTGGCCTTGGTGCATCAATCGCTCGGATGGTACAGTACATCAAAATCGAGCTTGGAGGCCCGAATTATCTCCTCTATACCGACCACGAGCGTGAGTTGTAGATAAAGATGAACATGATTTGGTTGGTCTTGCTAACTCGACGGCCTAGGTCTTGTTACTCAATCGTTTTTCTATACCATGTTAGAAGCTGGAATAGCACTCATTGCAGTGAACCTACCATCATTAAGAGTATTCTCAGCTTCGGTCGAAGTAGGTGGACTAATGCGCAGTGTGAGAAGCTTTATAAAGTTGTGTCAAAAGACGAATAAAACGAGTATAAAATAAATATATAAAAGATATTACGCGTTTTTAAAAATAAAATAAAAGGTTAAATGTTAATAAATTTATATTATTATAGGGAAGTATTATATAGCAACCTTAGTATTACTTTTAATATTCACTTTATACATAATAAATTAAAGGATATCTTTAACAAGTCATCTTTCCTACGCAGTAGCAGTACTGACATCGCAAGAAGCAACTCTGGGGCTCCCACGGCCAGTGGTGCCAGTGACATCAGTGAACACGGAAACCCTGCATCTTTTGGTGTCTATCTGGCTATTGTATAGGAGAGTAGACGAGATTCCGAGATTTTCACACCCTATGGTCGTATTTGAATGGATTCCACGTTATATCTTAGAGGCAAGTGTATTATGTGTAGGGTGATAGGAACGATAGGAGTGATAGTTGATTTTAAAGAGAAGTTACAGATTATCCCAAGGGTTAATAGAGCTGTTAGTTTTATAAACCTGGTAAAGCAAGTTGATAACCCTAGGAATTGTTGAACTACATAACCTATATCTATCGTGCATTGGTATTATTTTCAGGGTTTAAAATAGGTACCTATAACAATAGCAACAATCCCAAATCATGAATCATAGCTTCAAGTCAAATCGACGTACCATCAAATATACAAGGAAACGGCCGGCACGTAATTATCAACGTCACCCGAATATATACTCTCATTTCTCATCTAACGGTCTACTTCCGGACTAAATGCTGCGCGTATCCACAAATCGGAGGACCCGCCGGCCGGAAGTCAGTACCGGGCCTGCACTTGTGCTCTAATCGTCAAAATTAAAATTAATCTACTCTCTAAACATTTAAGAAAAAAGGGGGTTGTCGGGTATAACACATTCCTAGTGCATCCAAAAATAAAATCTCCCGCTCCGCGATATTTTAATGCCGCGCCCGTTTCTTTCGCACATATTAGCCGACGACGATATAGAATGGGAGGGGAGGGGGGCGCGCAAGTAAGGGAGGCGATACAAGCACCTAGCGGCAGATCTATTGGTGGCCGTCTTCCTGGGGGAGATCTGCCGACGATCGTTAATACAAGGCATGGCCCCCCGTCGTCGTCGTCAATTTAATTAATGTGCAATTGACCGGATTAGGTAATGTATACCAAGCTCCGAGAAATGGGGAATTCTCCCAGGCTCGAGTGAGCTTTAATATATCCCCCCCGAGCCTGGGGTGGTCTGCTGCTTGTCAATTAGGCTGGTAGATTAATTCCATAAACATCTTGAATATATAGGTATCTATATATATAGGTATATATGGCTAGGTATATAAACGACTTGAATCATCTTTCAGTCTTTGACTTAACTGGTGATAGTGGTTGATAGTCCAAAGCACAGCCTAAGTACTCCCGAGAACTATCTACTTGTATAACAGAAATCAAGATGCGGGTAACATCTCTGCTCACGCTCGCGTTCGCCGCGACTGGCTTCGCCCAGGCTCCCGAGGGCTACAAGACCGTTTACATCACGTCGATGGTAGACTCCAAGTTCGTCTTGGTTCCCAAGTCGAACACCAGCGGCAGCACTCTAGTCATGTGCGTTTATGGCCCTCCCTACTCATAACAAAGTGCCTCTACTAATCCGTCTATCCTGTTCCAGCAAGACCGGCAGCCAGAAGCCCGAGCAGCAATGGTACATCAAGACCGGCAGCACCAAGATCCAGCTAGCCGGCACTGAGCTCTGTCTAGACGCAGGCGAGAAATGTGAGCATCCCATATACCTAAGCCTCTCACACCACACCGTTCCAGCCTACTAACACGGCCAATCCGCGCAGCTAACTGGAAGGACATGGCCAACATCTACATCAAGGAGTGTTCCGACACCGCGGACTCGCAGAAGTGGGTTGCCATGGAAGACGGACGGATCGCCGTCGAGAAGTCGAGCCCCCGTAAGTCCAGCTAACTACACGTTCGCTTATAGTATTAGCATCCGAATAAGCTAACGCCTAAAACAGAGGAGTGCCTCGACCTGCAATACATGCGCGCCACGGAGAACAACCCCGTCGGCCTGTACAGCTGCGCGGGCCTAGGAAACATCGGCGCTGCAGACAAGGGCATCAACTGGCCGCTTACCGAGGTTACTGCTCCTTAAAGTTGTAGGCTGGGTAGTTATTCGGTGGCGTGGCCAAGTTCTCGTTGTATATAGCAGTAACGTGGTAAATGGCACACGAATATGCGAGCTATGAATTTGGGTTGAAAAGAAAGTGAATCTGGCATATCGGTTATTATTTATGTATACGCTAATGATTTGCAATACCTACCTACTGCCAGTGCGGTTCCCAGTGAAGCCCTCCCCATAGCTTTCCACACTATACCTTGCCGCACAAGAGCTTAAGTTCCCCGTCCGTAGAACCAAATCAAAAATCAAAAAGGGTCAATAGCTTTATATTCAGACCCCTCCACGCCTAAGTCGAAGATAAAGCTCGGCCCTCTGCTAAAGTATCTTATATACTACTTACCATACAGCCCACAAACCCCATACCCCATACCCCATACCCCATCGCGAGACAACGAGTGACCATCAATACTACCTAGAAATAGGAGATTGCTCTGCCCTAACACATCTAATAGTCTCCATTATGCGTAGCTTCACAAGGTACTTGTATGTGTGGATAAGTAGGGAATCTATCCCTCCATCTCCACATCCTCACCGCCCCCTTTCTTGCGACTCTCCAGCCTCTGTCTAGTCTTCGCTTTCGCCTCCTCAACCCACTTAGCATACGCATCTTCCCCCCCTTCTCTAATCTTCAAATCCACAACCCCCTTAAGCACCGCGCCCGCAAACCCCACGAAATTATGCCGACGCAGCGTGTTCTCGAACTGCCAGTCGCGACGCTTCTGTTCCTCGCGCGCTAGCATCTCCGCATCGCCAATCTCCCGCGCGACCGCCCGCCGATCCCCGACCATCGCCATGAGGTTGAACCGGATCTCTGAGAGGTCGTAGCGCGCGATGCGGCGCTGCAGCACGTCCATGACGCGCGCGGGGAAAGTCTCCGATGTGCATGGCCCGTGCGCGATCGGCGCCGGCTGCAGGCCATCGAGCTCGTAGAGCACGCCGTTAACAGGCGTGTACGCAATGAAGTGGAACGCGTCCTCTGTCTCGCCGCCCGTGCGTTGCGTCTCGTCGACGAACGGACTGCTGCGCGCGAAGCTATTGTGTACGTTCCGAATCAGCTCACTATTGCTGAGCGCCTCTCCGCGGAACTCGGGCGGCAACGCCATCGTGAATTCTCTGAAGTCGCTTAGCGGCGTCCCGATATCCACCTCTCCGTCCCGGTTCATGAGCACCGAGAGCAATGCCTGCGTGCCGCACGCATTCTGTATTGTCTGAGCCGCAAACCAGAGGCGTTCCGCAGCACCGTGGTCGAAGGTGCCATCGAGGGGCTTATCGGTCGAGGTGTAGGGAGTGTCTGTGGGGTATTTGAAGAGGAATATGACGCCGTAGACGGGATGGAGCGAGGCCAGCGCTTCCGGTTCTAACGTAAGGAGCTCTTCAAACTGAACATTTTGAACGCCTAGGTTATTAAGTAGAAAGGTGAAAACGCCCTTCAAAATAATAATCAGCTCGGGGATATCAAAAAGGTAAGTAGACCAGGGCTTCGCATACAGCATCCGACTCAACTATTTTTAGTTAATTAGCAATCCGTGTTCAAGCTCGAGGAAGCACTAATAAAGTAAAACTCAACTGGTATTCCATCCACCACTCATCTTTCAGCTTTGCTTGCCAGGGTGGACGAGGCGTTGGCGGTAGGTCTCGTAGTATGTGGGCAGGTAAATCGAAGCGCTGATCGGGTAGAAGCTAGCTGTCGTGGAACAAGGAACGCCTTCTCTGAGAATTCAACTGCTTGAATGCTCCGACGTGTGGCTAGTCCAAGATTACAGATACCAGTAAATCTTAACTTCTATTGCAGAATGTCTGGAAATTTCTTGTTTAAGTAAGACAGTTGAAAAGAAGCTTATAATGTGTAATGTCAAGTTTGTGTCGCAGTTGAAGATGTGAATTACATAGAGCTCTATCGGTACGTACTTGGCTTACGTACCTAGCAGCCTAGGTTAAGCATGTACATTATGTAGGTACGTACTTGAGCTATTGTGGGCCATTCTAATAAGATAAAGCAGATGATCCATAATAGCTATCAATTAGGGGGGAGTATTATCACACAACTAATACGTATTGAATCGGCGTTATATAAGGTCTAATTTATTATATTACTAATGATTTGATTGATTGAGATAAAATCGTAGAAACGCGTATTACACCGCTATTTTACATAAAATTAAAGATTTTTAAATTACTTAATATGGTTAATTAATTTAATATATCCTTTTAAATATAATTAATAAATTAATTTAATTTAAAATATCTTAATATTCCTTTATTATTTAAGTTATTAACAATTTAATTTTAATTTAAAAAAGGCTTTTAATTGTTTTTAATTATTATTAACACGTATTTTTTACTTTATAACTATTAAATAAGAGTTGGTATCTTTTGTAAAGTATGGTATATTATTTTAACGTTTAAATTTTTGTAAAAAGCTTTAAATAATTAATAATAATATTATATTTTAAAAAAATTATAAGGATTTATTAATTGGATAAAATATATAAGATAAATATGTAAGATAGGGCTATAAATTATAAATATGGGAAAATAATAAATGTGTTTATATTAAATGTATAATTAAATAGTAATGATTGTGGTTAATTGATTAAAAGAATATAACGAATATTAGATTTTTATATGGCTTGTGATTTAAGATTATATAATAATATTTTTATTTTTAACGATGTGGTATTATATTAGTTTAATGTTTTTTAAAGTTGACGATATTGGTAATAGTAAGGTAATTTTAATAAAAAAGTATTTTGATTTAATGCGTAAATTGTTAATTAACGTATTTTTAATAATAATAAATCGATTTAGTTGTTAAAGTTGTTTATATTTTTATTTTTTAACTTAACAATTTTAATTTGTTTTTTAGCTTTGGCTTTTGTTTATTTAATACGGTTTTTGGTTTAATTAATAATTTTTTTAAGTTTTAATTTAATTTGTTTAAATTATTTTTTAAATTTATTTTAATTTGGTTATCTTATCGGAAAATTAGGTTATAATTAAATGGTAGCGGTTTTATATGTATTAATAACTTATATATATAAAGTAAGTTTTTTATATTTATATTAATTGGTTTTATGTGGTTTGGAATTATACAAATAACGTTTATTTAAATTTATCATATTTAAAAATTCTTTAATTAACATATTGTTATTATTAATAACCGGTTTAATTAATTGTTTCGAGGTTTTCGGTATATTTAAAATTTTAATCTATTATTTTTTTAATGTTTTTAGCTTAGTTTTAATAACGAAGGTTCTTTATTATAATTTATGTTTAAGTGTAAAGCTTGTATTTTTTAAGAATTATAAAGATATTAGCGGTATTAATTTTTTAATTAGCTTATCGATTATTTTAATATTTAAGTACGTAGAAAAAAACTGTATATATTTCTTAAATAAAATATATAAATTTATACCATATTTTATCGTACTTGATAAGATTTTTGGTTTTCTTATAATTAAGTATAATATAAGTTTATACCAATATTTATATATTTATTTATTATTTTAATTTATTATTTTAAATAAAGTTAATTTTTTAAATATAAAAATCTAATCCTAATTTTTATGGTTATTTTTAACTATTTATTAATATAATTAATTTATTAATTTATTTTATTTTTAATTATATTAAATATGTAAATCTATTTTTATTTAAATATATAAATAGCGAAAAAATAGTAATATAAGTTATTTATAGTTTTTTTTATTCTTTTTGGATCTAACAAATTAATAAATATTAAAAAAGCCATTGTTTTAAGGTAATTTTTTAAAATCTCTTTTATTTTTATATTAAAATCTTTTATAATTTGGTAATTAAGTATTTAAGTTATTATTGGTTTATAATTTATTATTTAATTAGGAATATTTAATATTATTAATTTTTATAAGATTATAACTTATTTAATATATAATTATTCCTTCTTTTTATATAATTAAAAGATATAGATAAACTTAAAAAATAAATTTTATTCCTATTTTTTTTTATTAATCTTTAATAGTAACAATTAAATGTGTAATAAGTTATTAAATTTATTGTTTAAAGATATAATTTTATTAATAATAATTATATATTAAAAGTTAAGATTAATATAATCTTCTTAATTAAATAATTTGTTAATATAAATTAAATATTAAAATAAATAAATTAAATTATATATTTCTTATTATTTAACGTTTATCTTAACTTTTATAAAAGAAATATTAAATATCTTAAAGAATAAATAAAAAAAATGCTATCGATAATATATTAAATTAATAGTGGTAATATAATAAAATATAATAAAAAATAAATTAATATAAGGATAAATATTAATTTAATTAAAATGTTAATATATTAAATAATATTATAAAAAAAAGAATAAAATGTTTATAAGATGGTATAATTAATAGTCTTTTTGATGGTCGTGTAACATTGACATAAAGGCACCTTACTAATGATAAAATACCCTTATTATAAATAAGGAAAAAAAAGATAAGATACCCGACTTTACTAAATAAAAAGATTAAGTATCTACTATTATTAGAATATAAAAACATACTATACCTAACTAGCCTTAAATAAATTCTTCCCTCCTTAAACATTTCAATACACCAATCTTAATACCATTAATTTATTTATTATTACTTTATTGTTATTATTATTATTCCTATTTACGTACGTACCTACCAACACTTTTTATATTATATCTTAAAACCTTGTCGTTACTGATTGAAAAGATTTAATTAGTTAAAAAATTTATTAAAAAGTAATGTGTATAATTATATATATTTATAAATTTCAGTATGGAATAACCACCATAATATTTACAATTTATATAAATCGCTTTTTTTTTTTATTTTTTCTTTCTTTCTTTATAAGCCTTTGTCTTTTCATTTTATATTAAATAAATCTTAACTTCTTATAATTTATCTTAATTTATTTTAATATTATTTAATTAATCTTTATTTAATTAATAAGATTGTTTCGTTTTATTATAATATTATTTTATTTTAAAGTAGATTTAATTATTTAATTCTTAATATATATTATATATAATTTTTATAATACTTCCCTTTACCGCCATTAATAATATTAATTTTAAGGTTATTTATAAGAAATACGCAAAATATGCTACCTTTCTTTCTTTTTATAATTCTTTATTTACCCATAATACCGTAACCAATTTAATTAATAGTAATAATAATAGTATTAGTAATAACAATAATAATGGTTTAATTCTTAAGCCTTTTTTTTATTTAAAAGCTTTTAAGCATTTTAATCAAGAATTTAGTAAATCTTAAACAATAAAATACTAATAAATAATCAATATAATAAAAGAATTGTATTTTTTATTATTTTAAATTATAAATATTTTAATGTTTAATACTTAATACGTAATATTAATAATTAAGATATATAACTACTTAAATAGCTAATTATTTAATTCCTTGATAGTGTAGCAATTAATTAGTACGTTTGTTAGGTTATTATAAATAATTAGTTTTAAATATTATTTAAGTTTTTAATACTTTATACCGATTATGTTTAAAATTAAATTATAAATAATTTGCTCTTTATATATATGGATATGTATTAGAATAACCCAATTGGATAAATCATAACTTAATTACAAGATCTTAAATATATTAAAGATTTAATTATTTAAATTTATAATTATTTAAATAAAATTCCGTATCGTATTTATAAGAAGTATTTTAAATTTTTTAAATCTTTAATTCATGTTAATATATAGCCATTTTTTGGTTGTTAATCAATTCTTAGTTAATTTAATAATAATTAAATAATTATTTATTTGTAATAAAGTAATATTCGGTTTAAAAATTTTATTTTTATTATTTTTGGACTAATTATAATAAAAATTTTCCAATTATTAAAAACATTACGCCAAATAACTTACCGTGTATAAAGGAATATTATAGTGAATTATTATTATTAAAGATTTTTAAGTAGTAAAAAATAATAAAATAAATAATAATAATTAACATAATTTAATAATAAATAAATATAATATCTTAATTAAATTTTAACTTATATATTTTATTAATTCTCGTATTTTTTAATTAGTTAATAATTATAAAATAATTAATTAAGCTACATTTTTTATATTTTTATTTATATTAAATAACAATATAATCTTTCTTTATATTTCTTTAGTTTAATGTTTTTAAATTTAATATTTACATAATTCTTATATCTTTTTTTATTTCTACCGATATATTAATCTTAATTTTGGTTTTTTATTATTTAATTTTTTTATAATTATTTCTTTTAGGTTTTGAAATAATTATATTAGCTATTTCGGGATTATTTTAATTAATAAATTCTAAAATTGGTTTAATAATCCATTTGTTATTCTTAAGATCTATAAATTTTTAATATTTTTAATTATTTTAAATAAATAACTTTAATTTATTTCTTATTACACTCTTTTATACTTTGTTTCTTCTTAAATCTTTTATAACATATTTATCTAAATTAAGGATATTATTAATTAGATAAAATCCTTACCAATTATATTGTAATTAACATTTTTAAGATATATTAATATATTTAAAGATATTATATAAAAGTATTAAATTATTAACTTTTAAGGATTTTTATTTTATTTTATAAACATTCCACTAATTATTTTTTATAGTTATTATTTATTATTTTTTAATAATAATTTATACAATATAATTGATATTAATTAAGCGATATTTAATTATTTATATGCGTATGGCGATTAAATTTTTAAAAGTTTTAACTTTTTTTTAATTTAATATCTTTTAAAATAAAATTAATGCTTTAATTAAGAAAATTGGGTATTTATTATATATAATCTTATATAAATTAAATTTATTAAATTTAATTATAATTTTATTAGTTTATACTATTATATTTAAATATTATATTATTGGTAGGTATATACGTAAATAGGAATAATAATAATAACAATAAAGTAATAGTAAATAAATTAATGGTATTAAAACTAGTATATTAAGATATTTAAAAAGGGAAGAATCTATTTAAGGCTAGTTAGGTATAGTATGTTTTTATATTCTAATAATAGTAAATACTTAATCTTTTTATTTAATAAAGTCGGGTATTTTATTTTTTCTTCCCTTATTTACGATAAAGGTACCTTATCATTAGTAAGGTACCTTTATATCAATATTATACAACCATCACTTACTCTATTTTCTTTTTGCAATTAATTAATTGCAAAATATAACTAAATAAATAAAACCTTAAAATTTATGCTAACGCATACTTATATTGGTCTAAATATATACCATTACGTATTTATGGTTTTACGCATCTATAATCGCACATACTTATAACGGTTAGAGGATAAAACTATAATAGTCCAAATCAAAAATTATCCCATAAATAAGGTCGCGCCAGCACATATCGTACCATCCCATTCCTAATATATCCCTCCTTACTTCCTACAATAGCCTGCGTCTAAATTGGTATCGGTAATCGGCCTTAATAACCCACTACTACGCTAGCTTAATATCGCTCCCAATTTCCCCGCGTTTCACCCACCCTTCCAAACGTAAATCAATCTGGTTATCCTCCACTAATATCCTCATAGCCTTATTTAGAAACGCCTTTATTATCGCATCCGCCGGATTACAACTACCATATATCCATCGGATATCATCAATTTCCCTGTTCTCGTACGACTACCTTAGGGCCATAAAATCGATCATCAATCTCTTCTCGTTGATACTACCTATTTGGACGAGGCATTAGTACAGCGAGAAAAAGTCCGTGCACAAAACGAAAGGGATTATCGGAAGGCTCAGTCGGCTTAGAATAGTATTGATAGTATTGTAGATAACGTAGCCCACATCGAAGCCCTACACCATTCCGTAAATCTCACTAGCAAATACGCTACACGTAACACGCTTGCACTTAATAAATAACCAATAGATAATATTGCCGGTAAGTCGTACTTCGTTATTATGGTCTATAGGTCTCTCGTTACCGAATACCACAATATAGCCGATCTAGGAGCTCATATCCTTATTGTTGGCGAATAAGCCGTCCACGAAGACGTACAGGCGCAGGTCTTGGGGGTCCAACTCCATATACCTGAGGCCTCGATCCTTATGGTTTACCTGCCATTTGATCCTCGCGTTAAGGGCTTTGGCTTCCTTTGGCCCAGGTTTCGTATGTTGCGCTGCCGTGGAGTAGTCGAAAGCTGCTTCGGGCTGGCAAATGGACGCAATGTAGGCACCTCTTGCACGTTGTTCTATGAATCTCTTAATCATGTCGAGTGCCTTCAGGTCCAGTTCTTCCAGCCTCTCCGCTTGTCCCTTCTGGATCAGTCGGGAATCCGCGCGCGATCGTCCACTGGATTAGATCAGCGACGTACTTTGTACCGGACATGTTAAAGACCTTAGCAGTAGTAGGAGGCGTATTACTTGCAACAAATAAGGCACTAATAATGAGCTTAACGATATTATCGGCATCGTTGGTTGCTTATAAAGTAGCGAGGCAAACTTGTATTAGCATTTTACATTTACCAATCAAAATGTCGCGATAAGATACTTTATCGGTTTGTTTAATAACCGAAAAACGGTTAATATTTTTTTTTTCAATTACGCTATAAATTAATTTATTAATAAACGCAAATAAAATTTTATAAGTAAATTTCTTTGTAATTTTACGATTTAGTATAGTAAATATTTTAATTTAAAGGCTTAAGTTATAAGGTATTTATATATAAAGATTTGTGATAGATTTAAAAAATTTTAAAAATAATAGAAAATAACTAATTTAGGTTATCTATATTTTCCTTTATTTTTAAAATTCTTTAAATCTATTATAAATCTTTATACGTAAATATCTTATAACTTAAGCCTTTAAATCAAAATATTTACTATATTAAACCGCAAAATTACAAAGAAATTCGCTTGTGAAATTCTATTTGCGTTTGTTGATAAATTAATTTATAACGTAGTCGAAAAAAAAGATACTAACCGTTTCCCAATTATTAAACAAATCAATAAAGTATCCTATCGCAATATCTTAACTAATAAACGTAAAATATTAATATAAATTTACCTCGCTATTTTATAAACAACCAATAATGCCAATAATATTGTTAAGCTTATTATTGGTGCCTTATTCGTTGCAAGTAATACGCTTTCTACTGCTGCTAGGGTCTCTAATATATCCGGTACAAAATATGTTGCTAATCTGATCCAGTAGGCGATCGCGCGCGGACTCTCGACTGATCCAGAAGACGGAGAGGACGTCCCCGAAGAGAAGGAAGGCGATAAGACAGAGGAGGGCGGGACCGCGACTGCTCCGAAGCCTGTATCCGTAGTCGACGATCTACCTAGAACGGACCTTCCTGAATGGATTACGGAAATTGACATGGATCTCAATGATCTCGCTTTTGCGATTAGCGTGAGTCCTGTCGAAATATGCGCCTATGTGGCAGTACTCGCTTATGCGATCGCGAAACAGCCACGAGCCGATAATATTGACGCGTTCAATCTTCGACGCCGCTCGGCGATACAGAGCGTAATCACCAGCGGATCACTCCAGATCTTTGTTGACGATTCGCCGTACCTATCCCTCGAGACGTTGACCAAAGTGCACAATGCTTTCAATCTCAATATTCTCGATCGCGCCATCGTACTCAATTCGATCGTTTTGCGTGATACTGCTCTCATCTCAGGAAAAACTAGGGCATTTTATATGATTTTCCGTCTTTGCGCCGGGACTTCTTTGAATCCGCTCATGCTCATCGTACGATATGCGCGAAAATATCCTCACTTCTACGATGCATTCCCGGAGTTGCAGACAGAGTATTATGCAGCGAACGACGCAGTGGTCAAATTCTACGAGGTTAACGAAAAAATTCGCATGTATATGAAGCTCATATTCGGGAACGCTTATATTCCGATCGACCGAAAGGATATAGAGAATTTACTTGGATGCGCGGTCTTCACTCTTGCCCAGACGGAAGCTACTCTGTCGAACTATAGCGGAGGTATGTTGAGCGCCAATCATCGACAACGACTAATCGATCTTCTTCAGGTGGCCGAGATTCAAGAAGAAGAAGTTCCCGAGGAAATGAACGAGACCACCAACGCGAACTAAGACACACCGGAACAGAGACGTACGAAAGAGGTAGATCGTATTATTAAATAAAAAAAAAAAAAAAAAAAAAAAAAAAAAAAAAAAAAAAAAACTGATCAGTGTTGGTAGGTACGTACGTAAAAATGGAAAAAAAAAAAAAAAAT